GATTTTTGTATTCCACTATAGGCTCAGGCTTGGTTTTTCTTTTGTTTCAGCATGGAGTAGCATAAGCGTGGATAAGGGATTTACACGAAAGAAATGTGGATAGAACAATACGAAACACGGTCAACGTGTACAACCGTCTCATCTACGCACTTTTCGCAATGGTAAAGCTTGTCATGAAGCCTTTGAAATGTGGTATCATAAATTCGAATTACAAACAATGCCTGTTCTATAACACGGGCTCCCAAATAATCCGAAACCCATGCTCCTGATATATCTCTATTCTAACTCAAGGTCGCCAAGCTGGTGGCGGGGGCTGCGAAACCTGGAAGGGGCTGAACTCGGAGGGCAGCACGACCGGGCTGGACTTCTCCTCGTCCAGGTCGTCGCCGGTAGGCCGAGTCTCCGCCGCGGTTGCTGCCGCATCTCTGGACCATCCGCGGCGCGGGCCCCAAGGCTGGTAGGAGTAGCCTCTCTGAGTATTATTGTAGGGGGATTTCTGGACGACCTTTTGTCCGGTGTACAGGGCGGTGTCCCCCGGGGTCGAGATGGCGAGCCCAGGGATGAAGCCGACGGGAGGGCGGCCGTCCATGCTTGAGTACTCGGGGGGCTCGGCTGGGTTTGTCCTTGGACGGATGAGAGGGGCCGTGGAGGAGACGGAGATGGAGGAGATAGAGGACGAGCCGGACCGGGAGGGAGGCTGCTCCTGCTCGGGCGAGCGTGTGAGGCCGGAGGCGAAATGCGCCGTTGGGGGCGGCGAGACGAGGGCCGTTGTGCTCGAGGTGGGAGTCGTGTACCAGTTGGAGGGGGCGTGCCACTGGGCGGTGACGGGGTTCGAGTTGAGAGCGGCTCCCGGGTCGATGTATTCCCCCTGATGATGCTCGACCATCTCCCTCTGCGTGTTCGCGAGCTCGCGGGGGAACCGTGGGGTGCGTGGAGTGACGCGGGTCTGGCAGCGGAAGGAAAGGAGCGATGACCGGCTGGGTGGTGGTGATCTCTGGCGCCTGCGCATGAAGAAGAAGACGCAGCCGGAGACCAGGAGGAGGAAGGCTACGCTTCCGATGACGATGCCGGCAATTGCAGCTGGCTTGAGTTTGCTTTCATCGGATTGGCTGGCATCCTGGATTAATGTTTCGCTAAAGACGCTGTCACTGAGACCGAGAAGGTTCCCGGGAGACGGCTGGTTCTCACAGCCAGTCTTGATAGCCACGAGAACTATTTGCAGATTTGTGTGAGCTAAAGGATCAAGACTGCAACGGGATGAGCCAAGACTGGGGCGAACTTACAGTTTGAAAGGTACTTGTGAGAGTCGCTCGACTGGACACACCGAAGGCAGGTCTCAACCGAATGTGAGAGATCAGTAGATCCGTCCACAGCACAGTAGCCATCTGGGCTTTTGCTCGTGGGATCATCGGTGCCCGACTTCAAGACAACGTCAAGTCCCTCGCAGTGACTATCCTCCATGCAAGAACCCAGAGTTTCCCCTTGGTCATCGAGATGATCAAAAAGGCAGGAATCGAAAATATATCGAAGGTGGTCTGGGTATTCGGTCAGCTCGCATATCATTGAATAGCCGGCATGTCACTTACAAAGAAACCACTGCTGATCAGTCTCGTCACCCTTAGAGAAGGAACTCTCTTGCAGGCAGGTGAGGCAAGACTGGAAGAGCTGGCCATTGTACTTGCTAAGGAAATCCTGGTCCTTGCAGGCGAGGCCATAAGAAGAGCCTGAGCTTAGATGAGGTGTGCCAACACAACTCGAGGCACATGGAGAGCCAGCAGTGACTTGAAGAGATGCTGCAGGGTGAAGGAACATAAAAAGGAAAAGAATAATGCCCGCTACCGAAACATTTAAACGAGGAGTGATCATGTTGGGCCAGACACAATCTCAAAGAACATAGACCAGCTATGGAAGGGCCATCAGAGGCTCGCTCGGAGGGCTGGGATCGGAAGTGAAACAACGAGACGAACAGGTAGAGGAAAATAAAGTATGCCAGATACCTATTATCGAATGTGAAATGACCAGAAAGAGAAACAGGAAGGAGAATTAGAAGGAGAAGAAGCAAAAAGACATCAGTAGCATAATGTGAAGGGAAGAAAGTAAACGAATTAAGACAGTTAGTCTCATAAGGCTGGAGAAGAAGGCGAAGCAGAGGCATCCGATCAGTCCAGTCATTCACTTACCCACACCTCCATCCCGGCATGAGAAAGGTGAGGGACGAAGGGGGTGTACCAAGGACGGCCTGCCCAGTGAGAGGTCAACAGTTAAGCCATTCGCAGCTCGGCGGCATCGCATTAACCTACCGGTTCGGCCTGTGGTCGCGTGTCAGGCAACCAGCCGTCGAGCCATGAAACTGGGAGGCTTCATAGCGCTTCCGATGCAGTGTGGATGCCCTGTGCCTGCATGCCGTGTCACAGTCCGTTTCCATACATATGATGAAGTCAGATGCAAGGGTTCGGGCGCCAGCTGGACACTATCTAGTCTGATACGTAGCCAGACTCCGAAACAATGCACGAGACGCCCAATCACAGACTGGATGCTCAGTGGGCGCTTAATAGTGCAAGCATCAGACACCGGGCGCAGGTTACAGAAAAATACAGAGCAAGAGGGACTAAACTCGTGAGCTTTGGGGGCGGGCGCTTAATCCCAACAGTCTCACCCGATTCCCCTCACCCTCACTCTCACACCGGCACAAAGTTCATTTATATCGCCGCCATGGCGAGCACAGCCTGCTTTTCCATATATATTTGCCTGCAGAATTAGATTCTGTCTGTATAGCGCACACAAGATCATTTATGATTTCTGAGCAGATGCTGTTGGTCTCACCGTGGCTAATAAGCCCATTGGCTCATGCTGCTTGACGCCGAACCTGCAGTGTTCACTCACCCACTTGATTCAACTTGATACCCGGCATGGAGTTCTATTAATAAGTTTAGTACTTTGATCGAACCGCGAGCAGATCTCCGGCGACACGATGCACCTTCGCGCTGTGTGCTACCCAGCTGACGAACCTGTGATACAATCCAACGGCCCAAAAGGCGGCCGCAGCAAGTTGACTATCCAATAACATCAACGGGTGGCTCATTAAGTACTTGCTTTATTTATACAGTATCTGCAAATCTATCAATACATCTGTTGACCGGTTAGGGGATTCATCATCTGACTATGGATGTGCATACATCGGGTGCACGCCGCTTCCCTTGCAAGACCTCCTGAGTACCTGTTCCCGCTATTCTAGCTAAGATTGAAAGGTTACATGCTAAATCGTCATCTTTCATATTACTTGTATGTTCGTGAGGAAGCAGAATACTCCCTTTTTGGCTACTCCAAACTCCAGTTCAAAGAAAAGTTCCCATCCAGCAAAAGACAGAATCACAGCGCCGTCTTCCTGGCATTTGCTGAATACCACCCAGGTAAATCCAGCACCTGAATCTTCATCTAGTGTAGGCGCGATACGGACGGCTTTCGGCCCTTTTCGTACAGCCATTTATTGTTCAATCCCACACTTGTTCGCTTGCCACCGCTTGGGCTGGGCGAGCCGGGGTCTGAAAACAGGTTGGCGGAGGCATTAGCTCCAAATGGGCTTGCACTGCCGAATGAAGACCTCCTGCCATTAACAGAGGTATCAAGACCCTTCTTGAACAATGGGCTGCCGATAGGACTGTATGGTGAGCCTGATCCTCCTTGAAACGCAGGACTCCCTCTCCCGGAGAGAGGGGAGCTGGCAAAGCTGCCCCGGCTCCCCACCGATCCTGCAATCGAGGGCGTTCTTGAGTATCGTGGAGGTGTGCTGAATTTCGCATCTGGGGTTGGGGCTGCAGAGGATGGGGGTAGACCCAGAAGCTCTCTTTGCGCCGCTGTCAAGGCAATGTCCGATAGGTCGTCCTCCTTTCGGACTAATGGTAAACATGCGAGGATGATGTTGGTGAAAGGGATCAGCTGGAGGAGGAGCCACGCCCAGTCTAGATACGTTTGAAAAGCTACCGGCATCCTATTCCCGTGAGTTAGCACACCAATCTACACGGATACTTGTAGTGCTAGGTTTAGACCGCCCGTACAAATTCTGGCAAAGCTTGAGTTTCGAGAATGCTTGGAGCAACCAAATGGCGACAATCCCCCCTGCACTGAATGCGATTTGTCTGATGTTCTTGTCGGAGAACGTGGACGCGTTCCGGCGGCGAGTGATCTCGTCAAGGCGCGGGTGTCGCCATGTTCCAGGGCTGTCGGTGATGGAAGGATCTAGCACGGTGCGTGTCTTTACTGGAGTTGTCGTTGCCATGATTGCTTGGCGATGTATTACTGCGTTGAAACGAACGGCTTTTCGATCATGTGCCTACTGCTTTCTGTGAGCTCTTGTTTCAACCGGGCATCATTCCAGTGTATGCTCACCCTTAATGTCCTGCGAAGAGAAAAAAGCAAAATTCAAAACTGGACAACGTTTACTTCTCTAGTATCCTGTTGGTTAGTAACTGCACGAGTGGCCCGAAGCCGGTGTTGAGCTGGTTGCTCCCTTGGGTGCTGGTTTGTTGATGTTTGTGAACCTGGCAATGAAAGATTGCTGGTTGCAACCGCAACAAAGTAGAAATGGTGGCTGGAGCGAGGCGCACAGACCACCAGCCACACCCAGCGTGCCTTCTCATTTGCTGAGACGTGCCTTTGCGACACGCCGAGCTAAATTGTCGGCAGCTACGCTACAAGCTACCTGCTGCCGCCTCTAATGTATCCGGTCAAGCCCATCACTACAGTATCCGCGCGAATGGGTGTTACACGTAATCTTAGAAGCTACATGGTGCAAAATTTACGCCTCCAGGCCATCTGGTAGTGCACACTGTCTTCGATTGAGAAGCCACCTGTGCATTCTTTCCTCTTCCCAATCAGAGTTATTCGACTAGTCACAGCCATTGAACCTACTGCGGCTGCACGAACGCCTCATCCCGGGTCGCAACACCATAATCCTCGCTCGACCGTTCAACAACCATCCATCCGCATTCACCCTCATCACAATGGCCGACTCACCGGCATCGGGTGCGGCAACGTCGGATGCAGAGCCCATGAGCTCTCCCGTACGGAAGTCATTCGCGTCGCGCGCTCCTGATTTCGATGATGCATCGCGATTGACTGATGCTCCTGACGAGGCGTCAGAAAAGTCGTCTCGCCCCAAGGGCAAGTCAGCTGGAAAAGACAGAGACAAGGACAAGGACAAGGACAAAGACAAGGAAAAGGATTCTCAACCGCAATTTGGTAAAATTCGCCATTTGAAGAAAGAAGACGGGGAGCCTCTCTGGCGAGAGGATATTCAGTACGATTTTCTCAAGGCTGTTTTCGATGACGAGCAAAAGGTCTTTACGAATTCCTACGACCCAGAAGGACTCGGCAAGCAAACCTTTGCGGACCTGTACATCGACACCATGTCACGCAGCACAAAGACGAGTAAAGTTCTGCGTGATAAGCTCCTGAGTGATCGAGAGGCAGCCAAGGGGATGGCCATGGTCTGTCTTCTAGTCAATGTCGGACGCATGAACACCACCCTCAATTGTATGTGGCATCCCCCTCAGTTTCCCTGCGTCGACTGGCCAATTTAATACTGATCTCTGTATAGTCTTCCCAGAAATGCGCGCCCAGCTACGAACCTACCACGCGATCCCGTCGCTGCAAGCCCACCAGGACCCCCACGCATACAAACAGCTTCAAGATGCACCTCGATTAAAATCGATCCTCAAGGGCGGTGCTGAAGATAGAGATGAACCCAACTCTCTGGATAAGATTAAAGAACAAGACATTCCACGGACGAACCCTGTCAACCTCATCTTCGTCATGTGCAACGCAGCATCCAAAGTCGCCGAGTTGCATTTCCCGCGCCATCATGAATTCCACGATCTCGTCATGAAGACGCATTATAGCAGCACGAGCCGTGCCAAGGCCTTCCTTTGGCTTATGTGGTTCTATCTCGAGTCAGATTTCACGGAGGAGGGCTGCGAGGAGAATCCGTTCGGGGCAGGCGTCGACTATGGTCTAGGCGTTGCCAATCAAGGTGTCCCAAAGCTGGAGAAGATGACGGATGAAGAGAAGAAGAAGGAAAACATAGATCCCGAGGAGGAGTTGGAGTTTGGCCGCGAGAAGCAAAAGATGCGAGCCAAGATTCTGGAGATGGACCAAGCTTACCTCAATGAGAGGGAAAACAGACGCGGAAAGATGAGACTTCCTTTCGCGGAAGATGGCCCGGCAATTTTACCACGCATCAGACCGTCGAAGCACGAATCTGATATGGATAGCACAAGATCGACACCCCCTCCGAAGGGGCCGAGTCGCGCATCAGCTGCGGGTTCGACCCGCAGGGGAGCACCGCTCAAGTACCAGATCATTGAAGGCTCTTCCCCAGCTCGCGGCACAGAAGGCGTTATGGCCCGAAAGCCGCGTCCCCCAACAGCTCACCAGCTCGCCGTGGAGCGCAATAGACATGAGAGGGTCGAGTACATTCTTGAACGTGGGCTACGAAGGCAGCACCATAAGAGCCGCAAACTGAGGAGGCAACATGGGGCCGTGTTCCAGGCCTACAGGCGTGCCAAGGCCCATGCTGATCCTCTTGAAGATAGTGATATGGATGAGAACAGTCCCCGCAACTTGCAGTCTTCCCGCCAGCCCTTCCGTGAGAGGGGAATAGGAGGCCTAAGTCTCCTGTCAGCTGAGAAGGATGACTTTGGAGAGGAGGTCTTCTCCTACGCTGCCGCACTACGACGTGCGAACCGACGATTGGTCCGATGGGCTGACCGCGATGCGGCATTGGGTGTCGTGGCGCCCGTGAAGAGAAAGAAGCAACCTGGAGAGGGAGACGACGGTGATAAGACCGTGTTAGGCTTAGGGCATGATGGCCTGTCGACTTCCATGTCGAAGCTGAACGGCGATGTCAATGGCGATGTTTCCATGCTTGACATGGAGCTTGAAGACCAGACAGCTTTAGGGGATGATGAGAGAGTGGATGAGGACATGGATGATCCCGATCGGACTGAGGTAATGGGCGACTCAGACGCAGAATAGCGAGGCGTTGGAGCACGTGTCATGGGTAAACCTTCGAATCTGTGTAATGGGTGATTGGTGTGGCAGAGGGTTATGAACACTGATTTTCGTCTTTGTACAACAAGCCGCCATTTTGGTGCGGGGGATTTCTGGGCTAGGGTAGACAATGTGTTTGGCGTTATGGTTTTGAGCAATAGTACAGTATCAGAGTTGGAATTCCAAAATCAGGCCGCTCGCAGTTTCGAGTGGCTCATGTTAGTTTCCTCACGAAAACGTGCATTGGCAGTTTCTGTCTAATTGAGTATCTCCGGGAAGCCTAAAAGTTACTGGCAGCATCTCTTGCCGGTGTATCAGGATCATCGCTGTAAAGCTCTGGTAGGTGCTCGGGCTCTAGTTAGCTTGCAAATAACGATTCAATTCATCAAATGGGACGTGGTAAATTCATATGCAATCTCCTCACAAAGTTGACGCCTTAATCATATTGCCAGTGGCCTTTGCTTCGGATAATTTCATCAAACTTTGGTATCACGTTTGACAAGGAAAGCTACGTGATGGAAGAAGGCGTGGCTCAGGTGATGTGTAGAGCGAAACCAACAAGAGTCCATCTCAATTGGTAGTCACTAGCCATTTTAATAAGAGCGGCATTGAACAATGAAAGACCCAAAACTCGTTCTGAGGTTAATTCTACGTTTCTTTAGACAATATATTGGGAATTACAACGATAGCGGTGCACATGCCCCATCAGCAAACACAGAGGAGATACGACTGAACATTTCGGATTGAAAAGGTCTGTCCACGATGGTAGAGATTCCCATCATAGGTACATAATACATTGAACGACCAGTGCTTGACATATAGCGCCAGTCACTCGGGCAGTGAAGTTGGGGGCCTGGAATGTATCTGACCACTGTAAAACTCAGAAGAGGTACTTGCCGACTCTTACTATAGCTCAGGTCTACAGCTGTATCCAGCCAAAGCAGGCTTGAAGGCCACACCACATGTATTGCATTTGATAGCCCCTTTGACGGTTCTTGAGGTAGATTTTGATATCAAAGATAAAAAGAAGAGTAGTAAAAAAGAAGGGAAGAAAAGCAAAAGAAAACGCGGCTTGCGAGACTCGAACTCACGTCGAGTGCTTGGGAAGCACCCATGATAACCCCTACACCAAAGCCGCTAACTTGATGTGTTAGTAGCCGCAATGTTCAATTTATATATATATGCGACACAGGAGCATCATCCGTTGCAAACATGAGAATGATTGTCACCGGTTTTCGATGAAGATTCTAGAAATTCGCCCAATGGACATTAGATATTACTTAAATTCCCTTTGTTACTGTCAACAAGCAAGTTTCTCCCAAAGGTCAACACGATGTAGAAAGCTAGCAGAATAGGGCTGACAATCCCCAGCACATGATCCTCCTTTTGGGGGCTCTATTTCCTCATCCTGGCGCATAAGCATTCTCTGTGCGTCAGCCTCGCGTACAAGCAAGGTGTTGGTATAATGTAAGATCAACCTATATGTCGCTCTATGATCATCAATTGAATGCTAAATGATATAGGTAATCCTTGGGACAAGATTCTTTAAGGATCATTGGCGTATAGACATCCTCCATGCGCTACCCTCACATATCTACAAGATCTTAGTATGCTATAACATCTGCAAACTGCATACGTCGGTGAATATCAACTAAATGGTAGCTGACTTGCCCCCCTTGGAAAAGGGAACCCTTCTTCCCTTGCAGCAATTCGCTCATTTGCAATTACGGGGTGGCCCTTGCATACACACCTCCTTCCGTGGCATTCCCAGACCCTTCTCGCGCGTCCTGCTGAAGCAAGCGCCACTGTGCCCACTAAGAAATGTGTAGTTCCCTTTTTACAGGAAAGGAGGAAAGAAATGGAAAAGGCTAAGCATTTACATCTTTGACAACCTGGAAGTCAACAATACGAGCAGTGTTATGTCTCTTTTTACGTCAATTGGTTGCTTGATGCAACAAGAGCTCATAATACTCCGACTCCTTACTACCCAGACGTTCTGGTATCTCTCTTCTCTACAATCATGCTTCAAAAAAATGACTAATCTGTAGGACGAAACACCGAATGGTTCTGAAAACACTCATGAGACGAATGATCATCCCCAATGTATATCTTACTTGAGACTTTACACTCAAAGTCCGGGCCTGCTCCTGTTTCCCGACGAGACGGACCTAACTTTAAAATTGGCCTCGCTTCCTCGGAGAGGCATCCCGAAATTGCATATTCGAAATACTGGATAAAGAGATTTGGTAAGCTCCAAGACCGTAGGCCTCCCGTATCATATCTACCAACTGAGCAATTTAGCATGGAAAGTGGGAGCGCGTCCGATTGGCAGGAGCTCACTCTGGCCAAGAAAGTCCCTCCCAAAGGGACCACGAGGGATCACAAGATCAAAGCTTCTGGCGCATCGCCGACCAACTCCAATTCGCCAAGGATAAAATCCGGGTAGGGTGGCCCTGGCATCCCTGCCACGAGAATATCACGATGTGGCTGGCTAACCCTGGGTGATAAGCGGAGAGTGTTCCTCTGGCTGTTTGATTGTTATCGCCCGTACGATGAAGCCCGATTGGGTGGTAAGAATCATTTCTTCAATTGCTATCGTGTTGAAGGATCATGTTGCCTACAACACGAGGTCTTGATACTAGGGATCCCGCACTGGTCCCTTCAACGGCTCGTCTCCTCAGAGTCAAATACATGTCCTATGCTTTGGCCCCCATCGAACTATCCATGGGAAGGGTGTGGTCGTGAGAATATTCACCCTCTGGGGTTTCTCTTCAGTCAAAAGTTCCTTGCTTGGCAGCGCGCTCAGCAGGAAATCAGCCCGATAAAAGGATATCTGAAACCCTAAAGGTTGATTCACCTGGACGGCTGACAGACAGAAGCGTTATGTTACATTTGGTGGATGCGACCTTGCAATCAGCAGGGTGAAGAGTCCGGGGTATGTCCCTAAAAGGCATCGGAGCCAAGACCAGGCCTAGAAGTCTGTGCCCTCCTCTGGCCCGTTCATATTCAAGCTTATCGCTAAAGTGCAAGGATCTCCTAGAGAGGCAGTTGGGCTGGGCCTCAATTGAGACTGAGCTTGGGGCACTTCTCAAGACGATCACCCATCCTTTATCTCTTCTCCGCACCACCGCATGGATGCAGTGGCCTTATTCAAGCCGACAAAAACCGATTACCCCTTCTTGGCTTATCCCAGAAGAGAAGGCCATAACGCGCCAAGGGCATGGCAATGGAGGGCTGTGAGGGATCCTATCAGCATCGAGAGAAAGACCTTCGTTAATTGAGGTGGGGGACCCGAAGCATGTCTACGTGACATCGCTTACTTGGACAGGCTCTTCTGCAGGATTGTGTTCCTTCCTGTCGTGGACGGATCTGTTCGATCAGGCTTCCAATCTGTTTGGGGAGGGAGGGTCGTAGTGCGTCGTCGTCATATGGCCATATACAAATGGCGCCCGCCGCTCTGCAACTGGCTCCCTCTTTCTCAAGGGTCCTTGCACAAGAGAAGCTGCTCCTTATCAAAGTGCTTCTTTGGTGGGAGACTTGCGTGTGATTCTTCTTCCAATCATTAAGGTAGCATTATTCTGCTCTCTCGCCGAGCTTCGGTACTTTGACGCTTGGTCAAAGTAATCCCCCTCTGCTACCGCTACTGGGGTTCTCCAACTAAGATGGCTGCTGGAGATGCCACTGATGGGATTGCCGGAGCTGAGCTCCGTGCTGAAGTCATTGATGAGAAGAGAAACTCACTGGCTGTAGCCGAGACGGCCCAGCATGCTGCGTCTCTCGCTGGCTCACAGGGCCACATCCCTCCTGATGGAGAGGCCCCGACTGCCGAGGACCTTGTCACTTTGCGCCGTGTTGCAACCAAGATTCCACTGAAACTCTTCTCAATCGCATTTATTGAGATGTGTGAACGGTTTTCGTACTACGGCACCACCATCGTCTGTAAGTTGACCACAGGGCGATGCATCTATCCCTTGACCAGAGCAACAAGGGACGCGAATTTACTAACGAAAATTCTATTTAGTTACTAATTTCATCCAGCAGCCTCTTCCTGATGGCTCTACTACCGGTGCGGATCCGGAGCAGCCTGGAGCTCTTGGTATGGGTCAACGAGCCAGCACAGGTTAGTATACATTGCCCAAACATCACGAAAAGCTTCAAAATATTAACTATTTTTTAAAATTCTAGGATTGACTACATTTAATCAGTTCTGGCAGTATATGATGCCTCTCTTCGGTGCCTACGTTGCAGATCAATATTATGGTCGATATCGAACCATCAATTATGCCCTGGCCATAGACATCATCGGGCACATTATTCTCACGATGTCTGCGATCCCTGCGGTTATTAGCAACAAAAACGGCTCATTGGGAGCCATGATTGTCGGTATTCTTGTCATTGGCTTCGGTACTGGAGGTTTCAAGCCCAATGTGAACCCATTGATCGTGGAGCAGCTTGGAGAGCAGCATCTCCATGTCAAGACATTACCGAGTGGTGAGAGGGTCCTTGTAGATCCAGCAGTGACACACGAGCGAATCTATCTCTGGTTCTATTTCGCAATCAACACTGGAGCCCTTGCAGGGCAAATCTCCATGGTGTGGGCTGAGAAATACGTTGGCTTTTGGCTCTCCTACACTCTGCCCACAATCATGTTGTGCCTCTGCCCTATAGTGATGATTTGGGGCCGAAAGCGTTATGTTCGCCGCGAAGCAGGAGGTTCAGTCTTGGGCCCAGCAATGAAGACCTTCTTCCTTGCTAACAAGGGACGCTGGTCTATCAACCCTTATCGAACCTGGAAGAACCTTCACGATGGAACCTTTTGGGACAGTGTCAAGCCGAGCAAATTCACCGACGAGACTCGACCTAAGTGGATGACTTTCAATGATGCTTGGGTTGATGAAGTCCGCCGTGGATTTAATGCCTGTGCTGTATTCCTCTGGTTGCCTTTGTATTGGCTGTGCTATAACCAGAGTAAGTAATGATTCTCAGTCCATGTTAGAGCTATCGTTGGCAACCGAAAACTGACTCGCTTTTGTTAGCAAACAACAACCTTATTTCCCAAGCTGCCGTTATGGAACTGCACGGAGTGCCCAACGATGTCATCACTAACCTCAACCCCTTTGCCCTTCTCATCTTCATCCCGCTCAACGACTTCTTCATCTACCCAGCTCTGCGCAAGTACGGCATCCGATTCACTCCAATCAAGAAAATCGCCTGTGGTTTCATGGCCGCAACCACTGCCATGGTTTGGGCCGCCGTTGTCCAACACTACATCTATCAGACGTCAGAGTGTGGCAAGTACGCAGCGGGCGAGGATTGTGCGCCTGCTCCCCTCAACGTCTGGATCCAATCCGGCCCCTACATCCTGATTGCTCTGTCCGAAGTCTTTGCCTCCATCACATCGCTCGAGTACGCCTTCTCCAAGGCTCCCAAGAACATGCGATCCATGGTCCAGGCTTTTGCTCTCTTCATGACCTCCTTCTCGGCCGCCCTCGGTCAGGCCTTTGTCTCCCTTTCTGCCGACCCCCTCCTCGTCTGGAACTACACCGTCGTCGGATGCCTCGCCTTCGCCGGCGGGATCTGCTTCTATATCCAGTTTAGACACCTCGACAAGCAGGAGGATGAGCTCAACGAGCTTCCCGAGGGTCTTGTCGCCAACAAGGAGACGGGCATCGACGTTCCCCTGCACAAATCTGTGTCAGAGACCCAGAGAGGAGACGCGGTATAAGAGGCGCAGTTGCGCTGATGGTATTATGGAGATATTGTGATGTAGAGTCGTTGGCTCGGTCGGGATTTCTTCATAGGGTAGTCGATAGTGTTCTCCCCATCGTAACCAGATTGTAGAGTCATGATGGACTCGGGACTTTAATTTCAATTCAGATTAGGAACATTCATCCCCCTTTCCCAGATCACTGGCTGCCCGCAACTCATACCCGAATCTCCCTCCCCATTTTGTCTTCAGATTCATGTGACCTTAGTAATGAATGTCATATTTGGATGTTTCCTAGCCACTGATCAGGCAAGGCCGCGAGTTCCGTCTCTGGCTGTTTTCTCTACATGTTGACATCGCTTATAACTCCTTGACTCTGCATATCATGTTTTCTCCACCAAGTGCCTGCAACTCTCCGAGACCACAGCCGGGACCGCGCAGACGTGTCATCCCACTCTCTACCGAGATCGATCTTATCTATCCCCCACGTTTCAAGAGGTTCCTCGCCACATTCTGCAGGTCACCACCCCACTGCCCGGTCGACGGGTGCGCCAATCAACTCGATAAGAGAAGATCTTGCCATCATAATTCGTCCAAACTTCACATGAGCATGGTGGGGAAAAGAGGGAGACATCGTAGCCTATAACATATCTGTATTACAGTGATTTCTTTTTTAAACTATGCACCTTTCCTCTCTTTTTTTGCTGTCCTCGACGCCGACGCCAGAAAGCCCCTTGAAACCAGGGGAACAAGTAGATTAGGCCAAAAAACAAAATCATAAAGGATGTCGGGGTTGGTCACATTCCCTGAATAACACGAGCACTGATGCAGATCCGTTACGCTAATTCCCAGTGTAAGAAAATAGGTCATGAGTGCATCCATCCCGATTCTCTGCTCTCATTTTCCTTGCTTATCAAAATGGCTCTTGAATAGATGATTCTAAGCCCACACGGCCGTGACATAAATCGCACTCTGCCGTGTGTAGATGCGCGCAAGCGGAATATACAGTTTACTGTATCGCCCAATGGCTGCTAATTGGCCATATGTGGCCAACAAGAGCGACAAGGGGTGGGAGAGAGGGGTTCTTGCAGGGAATATCTGGCCAAAGGCTCAGCCACTCATTATGCAAGCCACTGCTCCTCGTCTCTTTTGTTTCCCCGCATCACCAAGCCCTCGTCTTCTTCATCCTCGTCGTCATGGTCATCGTCAATTCGTAACTGCTCGACAGAGGTGGCGGTGGCCTGAACACCATCGTCACCACCGTCCAGCTCATCGGGATCCAGCATCCACGTCAATCCATTGGCCTCCTCCTCCAGCGGAAACATCTCGCGGGCGTATTCTTCCAGTCCACGGGGACCCTCCCACAGCTCCCATGCCTCGGAGGGGCAGCTCGCCTCCAGTTTGGCGTCACCAAAGTATGGCGGCTGCTTCTTCGCGTCTGGCTCGTCTGGGCGGAAGAGTTTTTCTAGGGCTTCCAGCTGTTCCCGGTATCCAGTCGGAATTCGCACCTTGACCTCAATGGCGCCTCTGACATAGCGCACTGGGCGCCCGACGCCGCGCGAGAAGACCTCACACGCCTCCTTCGGGGAGAGATACTCGTACGCGAGAGCGATGCGTTCGTTGTGCCACTTGGAGACACCGTCCTTGAATAGTTGCAGAATAGCGGGGCCGACATCGTGCTCCGCGTCCAACCAGGGCAGTTTCGCATCCTCGTGGAATGGCGCCTGCCACACAAAGGACCCATCGTCCTGGAGCTCCATGCAGAATAGGGGATAGCGCAACGATGTAAAATTGTTGTTGTAAATTCCTGTGTACACAAATGTAGCGGGCAGCCTCAGCTGCCGTACATAGTCTTCCACCTTGTGCTTGCTCTCCCACAGTGGCAGTGAAGGCCACTCGGGGTTATAGGCGCCGTGGTCGGGCATGGAAGAATATATGTAATGCTGTACACCGGCCTTCTTGGCGGCGTCGGCGAGCGCGCGGCCGATCTCCAGCTCGTCGCCATAGAAGGTGGTGTTGATGAAGGCGAGCTGAGCGCCACGGAAGAGATTCGATATTAACTCATGATTGACGCCGACACCGGAGAGGGGGCCGCTCTGGGTGACATCCTTGTTTTCCTCGGTAGGCTGGTGCCTCGTGTACAGCTCCCCAACGATGACGGTGACATTGGGGTTGGTTGACACCTCGGTGGCTATGACGCCCTCGAGATTCCTCAGCTGGGCGCGCACATGGTATCCGACGGCCGTTGCGTTGCGGATCAGAGACGCGGCTTGTCTACCAGCGGCATTGATAACGGCGATTGTCTTGTTGGGCGAATGCATAAATCTTTTTGGCGGGCGAAAGGTTAGGGAATTGTTCCTGGAGCCAGCGAGGGGCGAAGATTCAGAATAAGACGAGCGGGAGTGTTTGTGTTGTTTGCGGTAGACGTTGTTTGCGAGGTCGTTTGTTGCAATGTGTATTGGGCTTGCGGCCGAGATGGCACCAGTAAGTTGAGCAGGCATGGCTCCGACCTCCCCTCTCGGTCGGAGGGTATAAACCGACATATGTATATGCCTGTGCGTGCTCTTATAGGGGGGAGGGGGCCAGAAGGGGATGTGACCAGGCCCAGGAACGAGGATTTTATCCTGCGAGTGCGCAATAGAGGGGCACCGTTATTGGGGGCACCAAGGCCGCCCGCCTGCGCAGATGGACGCCAGAGACGCCTGAATGCTCGTGCTCGCTGTGGGGAAGCGGAGCAGTGAAGAAGACCTGGATCAGCCCATGAATCGCAAAGTCAGTACGTAAAATGAATGTAAGGCGGCGGACCGGAGAGGATGGATTTACAAAGCCTAATGCAGAGTGGGCTGGTGGTGGGGTACAGGGCAAATACAAAAGCAACAGCAAAACAACAACACGGAACGTGCTGGGGCTTGCTAGTGTGTGTTCGGAGGAGTGAAGGGTTGACGTTGTGTTCCCCGGACACGGTCGACGACAGGGAACAGCTTTGGTTGTGAGACCCGAGTGCAAGAGGAGCAGCACCACCAGATGTATACGGATGTATATGTAGGCAGCCACCCAAGCTCAGACGGGTAGGGAGTGATCAATTGGTGGGGAGAGACGAGTTCTAATAGCAAGAACCCTTGGGGTTGAGAGACGGCGAAGAGAAGGGGGAGGGGGGTGAGGAAACCCAGACAGCTAGGGAGAAGGACCGCGATGGGTCTCAGCCAAGGGCAGGACAAGCTAGCTCAATAATTACCCCAAGGAGCGAGCGAGCGAACATGCTAGATTTAGACATGCTAGCACATCAACCTGATGACCTCGAGGGCCCTGTCGGCTAATTGAATGCCGTTGTCGCTGGGATGGGGACTGATGGAGGGGGAAGGTGGGGAGAGAGATGGGAGCTAGGCATATGGAATAGAGAGAAATGAGGTTGTAGTAGGGGAGCGATAGGCTTGTAGAGTCGGCGAGTTGTGTTGGGGGATTACTTACCTGCTTTGACGGCCCAGCAAGTGGTCGCAAGGCGAGTTGTGATATGCCAGTCGCCGGCTTTTATTCCGATGTGGGTATTACGTATAACGTAGCAGGGAGACAGGCCACCGAAGAACCAGGCCTATATGGGACCAGACAGCGGGGAGGCAGAGCTGCGAGGGGAAGTGGGAGAGGAGGAAGAGAAGAGAGTCGTTAGACGGCAGGCTGAGATCGCGGGCAGGAAAGACACGGTATGCGAGGCAAGCGAAGAAATAAGAACAACAGGCAAACAGTGTGCCGATAAGAAAAGTCGATGTCAAGACGGACCGGCTCTGAGTCTGTACCTGCCGGTCTGGCCTTACCCAGTAGAGTTTCGCGGGAGAGCGCCCGAGGTACCTTGCGAATTGCATGCAGGCGGTACCCAGGCCTGAGCACAGACTGGCTGTAGGGCGCGAGAGATAACAGCCTGCGCGGGCTCTTCATTGGACAGACGGGCAGCTGTCGGCCAACTGAGACACCCCGTGACACTGGCAGCGCATTACCTAAGGTAAGACGCTGTTTCTGGTACCTATCTATTGCTGCTGGCGAAACGTGCCAATGCGTGTGGCCTCACGAAGCCAGCACCATTGGGGCAGCGATGGCCACTCCAGAGGGCGAGTGCCAGAGCCCCAATGGCCAGGGCAAGGCTCTAGTGCACCCCTTCGGTGCCTACATTTGGTCAACGCATCCCTCCAGCGCATGAGGTGGCTCGTCAATCAGATAACACACCAGGCGGCGCGCTTCACTCACACACCCCTGCTCTTGCGCCAGCGCCAGACCACCAATATGCGCCAGCATCGTAGCTCCTCCCCCGCAGAGTCGAGGATAGAATTGTCCGTCCTGCACTGCATGTCGAAGGCTAGCTGTTTTGACTCTTGTTGGCCTAGGTAGGCCATGGCCATACATAGTAATTCTCCCGCACTGCCCACAGCCCGTGTCCAGCCACATATCCGCCAGCTTGGGAAACACATGCAATGGAATCTGGCCATGTGTGCAATGTAAGTGAAGCGGGCTCCCCGGCCTGTTCAACCAGGTCCCCATCATTACCCAGACTTCCAAATGTACAGGAACCGCTGTCATCATCATCGGTCAGTCACCACCGCCGCCTTGCAGATAAGCTCACCCCGTCCCACTTGCCATCGCGCCACCCTCCCACTTGTCGCTCCCGAGCACCCGCCGTACATTACATTACATGTCAAGTCAGCCAGTCTTCTGGGACGCTCCGAAGCTATCCATGCATTCCCTCCATGCCTAACAAATGTAGGTACATACATACGATCTTATGAGCAAGGCCAGCTTTTCACGCCCACCGACAGCTTGTGGCTCCACATCTGCAGTAGATTTTCGTTACTAAAAAGGGTGTCTCTGAGAACGGGAAGCGACTCCGAGCACAGTAGTGTATTCAAGAAGCGGCAACCCTCAACGAGATGTGTGTGCTGCCGCTCTCTAGTTGCATTGGCTAGGCTGCCTAGTCTTGTGAGTGCACACGACTACTGTCGTTTGTACCTACTAATATCAGACGTTCCAATCGGTGAATATGTGTGCTAGCGACCACTTGACAGGGCTAGGGGCCTGCTCCTCCAGGCGTCCAGGGTCCAGTTGTCTGGGGAGGCTCCCGTCAGTACTCACCCAGGTATGTATGTACCCAGGGTCATCATCATCTTGATGTAATAAGGGATGTGCGTGGCATCCATCCTCAGCCAGGGAGCATGTGTGTGCCTGCAAATCGTTTCGGCCGCTTACGCTTACCGACCGCTCCTCATGTACGTTACCGTCGTCTGTCTTACGGGCGACGGGGAACGTGCAGGCCTTGCTGATGGAACATTCGATCTATATTTCCACTGGTCGCATGACTGGCCGTGAAACAGGCGCTTTCCTGTCAATAGCTTAACACAGTACGTATTTGCACAAACCCCTGGCCGACTCTTATCTATGCACTTTGCTAACTCGACCCGCGGCCGATCTCCTAGCGGGTGTCTGTGTTGCCAGGACTGAGAAGGCCGCCATCCGCAGCCCTCCCATTCGCCTGCCGTGCGTTTTCATTACTCGATACCTTGCCTGCCCCGATTCACTAAAGATGGTCACGTTGCTCTTTCCATGGGCTGTTCTGGAGATGCGTTTCGATCGGACCCAGCACCCAGAAATTTTCACGGGATTATGTAAAAGTTTGGGGCCATCGCCAGTCAGAAAATTTTACGCCAAATCCATTTCTCATCTCTTTTATCAAGATGCCTCGCCAGCCCTGCTGCCATTGGCTCGCTGCCCTCAATTTCGACATCAACCTCGACGTGGCGGCCGAATACTCGGAACCCATTTCTACCGCTCGTAATATCTGCATCTCATTACGTTCTCAATTTTCTTTCACGTCACGAGGCCGCCGCAGAGCAAATTGCGTTGCTTCTAGGCCCTTCCCTCGACTTCACCGTAGGTTTTTGCCTTTGTAGGACAAGCAGCTTGTCCCTTTTCCGGTTCCGTCGCTACTTTCCGACGCCTTTGACCCTTCGCTCTGGTCGCCCTTCAATGTCTCGTCTCCCTCCCGATGCTAGGCGGCTCCATCGTGGTACTCCTCCCCAGGCTTAGGTAGGCACTTATGCACCCCCGGAATTGAGGGCTTCACAGACCACCGCCGGCCAATCATGCAGCGCCCTCACCCACACGCCCACACGAGGGGATATCCATGCAGGTTCTCGTGCATGATGCACACCTCGTCTGGACTTTTTTGGCCGTTTGAAACCGATCCTCCAACTGACAATGTCATTACGTCCGTGGCCATCCAGAATTGCCTCGTCAGTCAAAGTGGCTAGGAAACCATGCCTCAACACCACCCACACGCTCCCCCCCTTGGCCGCAAACTATACGTACACAGTTCACCGAGCCTCGCTTCCATCCCAAATCGCCTGTCCAACAGGCCACAAGTAGAAGTCGGTGAGCGCCATCCCCGCCGACCAAGTAGACCAAACAAGCTTCCTCATCGTACCCGGCTATGGGGGTGGACCACTCGTGATGGCGGCCTTGTTGGTTGCGGTACTACCAATCACTGGCCGGTATTGCGACATCACCCATTATCAGACTGCTGGCAAATTTTTCTTCTTCTCCACAAGTCGGAGCGCCTAGCAAACGGGTGTGCCCAGCGAGCGGCGGTGATCGCTCTGGTAGGGGAACAAATTTAGCTTTTGTGGTCGTTGGCCTGCGACTGTGAAAGATTGCGTGAGCGTCACTTGTACGCACGTTCTCGCCGCCGCGATAAGCTAATGGCCATTGAGAATTCCATCATCCCGACGCCACACACACCTCACGGCTAATTAACGCAGGGATCCTTATCTATCCTTGATCGAGGTGTGTGTCGTTTTGTGGTATGCCGTCATACGACAGACATGTCTGATTGGCTTGTGCTTGGGAGTGAAATTTCCATCTCCGCGGAGCTTTTCTTCGGGGGAAAACTTTTCCGGCTCCGTGCTTAGATGCCGTGATGACCACCATGGTATGGCAAATGCACCCAGGAGTGAGCTCTACCGGGGCCAGACGAGCCATGAGTCGAGGTTATGGCATCTTGACGGATCGCTGTTATAGTATCTTGATGAGCTCGCAATACCTTCTGGTAGGTGTCGATGGCAGAGGGAGGAAATTTTCTGGATTGCGGCGTCCCAGATGGCGGTGCTCTCCTCAACGCTTGTTCAAGAGGCCAGGCGACTACGGCCGAATCATGCTCCTTGTGTCACGTAGAAAATGGCGACCATGTCTCGACTGGGATCTCCTTTTTTATTAAGAACTCCTTGAGCGCTGGGTCCCTGGACGATTACTACGCATTGCTATTGAATCGACGAACGAACAAGGACCAGAGACAAAGCGGGGACTCTGGACTCAACGTGAGTGAGGACTAAGCTCGGACTGGGGTTCTTCATATCCCTTTTGGTCGTTGGCGCCGGGAAGCCTGGGGGAGATGTGTTTAATCATGCTGTGTGTACTTGATTGGTTGCTCGTAGAGGTTATCGCAACGTCGTTGCAGAAAGTAACACTTGGAGGTAGGTCTTGCAGATGCGATCACTGTCGGCACATCCACTGTGAACGGCTAAAGTGGTTTAAATTACAATCTTTGTCTAAGAGTATACGGGATAATTCATAATTCCTGATCCTGTATGAAATCCCCCTATTCTCTCATATATTCCAAAGCCTTCGCTGGAAATGTCAGAACGTCTACGCCAGGATAGGTTTAACAAAAGGAGAGATCGAATAATAAATAAGACCTCGCAGAGAGAGAAATCGACAACGAAAAATTAGATGAAAGGAGAGTCTTTGGGGGAGAGCAACAGTTGCAAGCAGTGAGGTCAAAAGACAGAGTGAAAACCGGCGAGTGCTACACACCTACCAGTTGTTGACGGGCAGTAACCACTGTTAGTGCCTTGGGATTTTCTCCAGATCAGGTGCGCCAGCTTTCAATGCCAGAAATGGGTTCCCTTAAGCTTCAATTGGCCCATCCACCTGATCTCGTACCTTCATGTTCCACGTCACCGCATGCTGAAGAAAAGTCGCATTATATGGACAATTGGTGGAATCATGTATATGTACACTCTCTTCTCCATACTTATTGTCTTTGGATTCAATACATTATTCAATCGGGCTTTCTAGATTTCCATACAATGAAAATTTACATTTGTATGATTGTAACGGCCATTGACATGATATTCTATTGTGCACAGTCGCCATTGAGCCATGAATGGCTTTTCAACCCGATCTCAGATCAGAATTCCGCCGTCCCTTGTTTTCACTATTTAAACCTCCAGGCCTCCAGCATTTCATCTTGAGTTTCCTCTTTTTCATCCATCGTTTCTCCAAGCTTTCGTATTTCTCATACTCAAATACTAAGCGCATTCCAGTTTTGTTGATTAAACTACCACTTCTTTCCCGTCATCTTCCCGCCTAGAACAAGATGAGCTCGTACAGCAGTTCACAGAGTTCAGAGGCGATAGACCTCGAGGTATTTGGAAACTTTGACAACTCGGGCACTCCAGACGAGATGCGTTCGGGATACAAAGTGCCCCCCATCAAGGGCTACAACCATCTCTTCAAGCTTCTCGAAGGGAATGAAGAGCTCGAGAACACTCCTGTCCGGACAGAAGTGTTTTCTGGAACAATTCGACAACACAACTTCATCACTAAAGGTGAAGTGATTCGCAAGCAGGGCCGAACAATCGGCAAGGTTGGCCGCGTCTCTATCTGTAGAGACCAGAAGAGTCTTCTCCCTGGCGTCCTCAGTATCAAAAAGGACGAATACCAAGTCCTCGACAGCGAGGCCAGAGACCGACTTGGAATGTTTCTCCAAGTCTACTGCCCCGAGAGAGCCGATTGGGTGATCACCGACAACCAAGAGACATCCATCGACACATTCACCGACCGCACTCTGGAGCTCACTCAACCCATCTCCGAGGAGCTGACTCTCCTTCCCAACCGCCTCCAGAGACTCTCCGATTTTTTCTACGAGCCCAATATCAGCAAGGCCGAGTACCTCCTTGTGTCCCGGGTGATTCAAGTCCAGGCCCATCGCGCCGCGGAGCTCGTCGACACCGTCTGCAAACTCCTACAGCCTAACGAATCAAGAGCCCAGAGTCCCAGATCCATGGACGAGCGCCCCCGCGAGCAGCCTCCCCAAGGAAATCGGGAGAAAACAGATCAAACTGCGAGACTGATGGAGCATCAGATGGAGGAGATGCGGCGCCACCACGAAGTGTACCAGGAGCTTCTAGATGACAGCACCCGCTCTGCCGAGAGTGTCACCGAGCGTCTCTCCACCGTCGCCGACAGAGTCGAGTCATTCATCCGCGGGGCCGATATGGATCAGGTCCAACGCATCCGCCAGCTTGAGAACATCTCCATGCTCGTCACGCGCATGGTGGACAGAGACCTCCCACAACAGACGCCGGAGTCCACTCCCGCCAAGAAGCGTCTGCGGTCTGAATCTCCGGGCATCTCAGATGAAGACCCGTCCGACTATACGGATGGCTCTGCCTCCGAGCGATCACACAAGCGTGCCAAGCATTAAGATTAGGTGGTTGTTTGTGTTTGCTTAGTATTATGCGATGAGTTTGATGGATTTTGCCCTGCTGGTTTCGGGGCACAGGTAGTTAATGTTCATAAGAGATGACAGGAATGAGGAAATGAGGGAATTAGAAGCATTTGATTTCTTTTTATCGAGACTTCGCCAATGAAAAATGTTTGACCACGAGTCGTGGCCAGTGTATGGCACATGAAACCCCTGATTCAATTCTACCGTAGCTATTGGCCTCCAAAGACAAAGAGCTATGCTCAATTAACCATACTTATTGAATTTACCTCATGGCCCTCAATTATTTTCATAATGAATTAAAGTTGCCGTCGTGGTGGTACGCCAAGATGGCTTATCGTGCTAATGTGTAGCATTGAAAGACTGTAAGTCAGTATCACAGTACATGTTGGTCCTCATGGGTGGGATGTTCATATTCAACTTCAAGTTTCACTTGATGATCAGTGCCACAGGCCTCATTCAAGATCCTTACCATAATACACTAGACCCGCCTTAGCTGTGGTAAGCCAAAACAGATGCCATCAACGTCGTGTAATCGCTCGCTTAAGGTGAACACGATGGTATTGTAATAGAGCCCATAATCCTTTCGCAACACCAAACTGGTGCGGCGTGAATCCTTGTTCGCTGATCTCAGTGTTGGTAGAGGCTTATCATTATACCTGGCCCAAGATAGTAGGCTCAAACTTGTCTTTGTTATGACAAGAGGCAGCCCATGTCATCTACTTCCAGTCTAAGAGTGATCGTTCCGTTGGCTACTGCAATGTACTCAACGAAAACCCTTTCAGGCGTTTATTTCTATATGCTAAGTAATTGTACATTGATCATTTAAAAGAAGTAAAGTGACTCTGCTCGGCTACATTCGGTGTTACATCCCCTTCTTCTCTTCAGGTCTGTTTCGCGACGTGCAGTGTAAAATCGGCGGGAGCCGGTGAAATTTCCGGTCCCTCATGCCCTTCTGGGGGTGGTTAGATTAGCTTGTTGAAGAAACGCCGCTCCCAGTGGTTTTGGCCAATTGAAAGAGGTAAATTGACTGTGCTGGGCTACTCTCAGTGGTTCATCCTCCCAGGCACTCTCTTGCGGCGGTATCGGCATCTGCTGGTACAACTGAGAAGCATTCTTCTTTGTTGGTTCCTTCTCTAGTTGTTTGGTCCTAGAAAAGTCGCTGTCCTCTGGTGGTAGTAAAGTTGAAGGTAATAGAGAATCCAGAGTCTGCTGGTCGATTGCGGCGGGATATCGCATGATATTTTTATTGAAGACTTCGAGGATGATATCTTCAATGAGTTCATAAGTCTGGCTGTGGCCCAAAGAAACACGATACTTTCTTAGTAGGTCCGGTATCAATCGTCGAAGAGACTCCCCCTGAATTTGTTGGATCTGGTTTATACACTCCCTCAGTGAATCCTTACGCCAAGGATTAGGGCACGGCCCCGGGAAGAGACTCTTCCACATGATAGAATATTTCTCCGCATCATCTTTATCTCGTGGAATTTTATCGAGAAGTTCAAGGTCAAGAGTGGTAATGGCATCGGAGTTGGGAGCAAGTGGCTTGTCGCAGCCCTTCCGAGCGTGCTCTGTCCATTCTTTCTCCTCGGGCCAACTAGTCTGGCAATAAGGGCAATAATATGCGCTGCGAGAGTGGACGAGCTCAAGGTGTTGCTTCACATCTGAGAACCGGCGAAGCTTGGATAAATAGCATTTCTGGTATCGGAAGGGGTCGAGACGGAAAAAGGGGCACACCATCTCCGGTTCGCTTTCTCCATGCTGCTCTTGACTAAACAAAGGTCTCTCCGCCAAATGACTGTGAAACTCGTCTCCAAAGCTCTTAATTTTTTTTCGAGGCGGCTCATGTTTAGCCTTGTTTTGGAATTGCGACACATCTAAAGATGCTTCCAACCCGGTCTGGTTTTTAATATCTTGTAATACCTCCACAGAAGGGATAATGTATGCCAGAAATGTTCCAGGAACTCCAAGAACGATATGTCCATAAAAGTGACCTGTTGATGCATCTATCACGGCGGCGCCGCAATCTCCTTTGTAAATTGGGGATTCGGTCAAGACAATGTGTATTTTCTGGAATGTCGTTTTACCAGATTGGCGGTATGATGTCGTGCCAGGTATGAGTCTACCTGAAACTGCACCTACAGCCGTGATGAGCATCACAACCTTCTCTGAACTATCAATAGCAACTGCTTGTCGAATCTCGAGCGTTGGGTGGCCATTTTTTGACTTGTCGCTGTTATTATACATATCTGGATGAACAGTATTCATCGTTCGAACTGAAGAGGGGAGAGGCTTCTCCGCATGCGAAATAGCGAATAACAAATAATCAAGAGTGTGGTTCGGTTTGGGAAAGCTGGAGACCACATCAGCTTCTATGTGTCTGCTAGGACAAAGTAATTTTGCCGGCTGTTGTACCTCGTCGCGAGACTCGTCGCGAGACCTGTCGAGAAGTTGTGCCACTAAGCGCTTAAAACCCCAGCGGCGGTATGATCCGAGTTGATATACCCCATCCCGGGAAGATTTGTTATCCAATAACGTAGATGAAATCCCTTTTTCGTCCAGGTCATTCTCCTCCGAGGTATCCCCAGAGGAAATGCTTCCCTCCATACCACAACCACCAAGTTCAAGGCCGTATTCATCGTGATCGCTTTCAAGCTCGAATTCGTCCAGATCTCTCCTTTCTTGGCCAATAACGGACTTGTCCTCTTTTAACAAGATATGCGCGACTGTGAGTTGATAGACGGCTCCTCCGAGCATGACCACAGGGCCGGCTGTGGCAGCCCGAAGATTGCCATTGTCATGATTTTGGAAAAAGACTCGACCCCCAAGTATGGTCGAGATTGTTTCTGAATCATGGCTTTCGTCCCTTTCCTCGTCTGGAAGTGACTCCTTCATGCATTTTATCGGTATCGTCTTCGCTTCAAGGCACAAGGCGCTGCATCCCAACTTGAAGCCATGACTTTTCACTATCCCACTGTCGCTCACAAATCTCTTAGCTTTGGCCCGAATGTTTTCATCTATACAGCATATCATGACAGTTGGGACAGCTCTGCTTGCAGATAGTCCGATCATATAATCTCTCAGGAAAAGAGGGTCGCCTTCAGGAAGCCCGCAATTCTCCAAGAGATGCTCCAGTTCAGGAAGGATATTCTTTTTGTAGGTATCTTGAGCCGGGCCTTTCGTGAACCATGCCTTTAGTCCGTTCATGTTCTTTGTTCCAGTATCTATATTAGAACCAATGGAATCTAGAGGGTCTGGCCAAGCTATGGCCTTCGATGATCGAAAGAGGCTGCTGGAGTTCGTTTCCAGTTTGAGGGTCGTCGAGGGCGTGCGGGTCCAAACGGTCTGTAATTTGGAAAATATTTTTTTAGCCCCATGGGTTGCGGTCGACCTCGAATTTGATCGCTGTCTATGAGCTGGATCCAATGTAGCGGCTGGCGAGGTCATAGTTGGCGCTGTCATGGTCGCCGTCAGGAATCAGCAGTAACTAAAACATCGAAGTTGAATTACATATTGCAAGTGTCAAACCAATGCTCGTGAATAAAACATGGAAGAGGACCCAGGGGGGCAAACAATGCTTTGTACGATTAGCTCGCTAAAGCTGCACTTTCAATCTTCAGCTTAGGCAGTTGAGGCGGAGCATCCATTTGCCAACACCACGTTCCCAATACCACCACACCATTTTCACCATACCGTACCATACCTCCATGAGATGACTTAGGAGCTTTTTCAGAAGGATTTGAAAAATTCAATTACTTGCTGATCGTAGCCCACCTATTTATGTTTATATCTAAACTCTAGAAGCATGATATCTAACAGCTCTTCGAAGCCTTTCTCATTCGCAGCCCGCAGAACCAACGATTTATTGGCTTACATTGGATCCTCTGATGGCATTTCTGCAAACTGCGTCACCCTACACATCACCTTGGTAGGTGCACGAGTCTTGCTACAGCCAGTAAGAACGATAATTTGAACTCCCGATGTCCTATGCAGCCCTCAAGCCTCGAGCCAAGGCATTTCAGCTAGAGTCAAGGCGTTTCGGCCAGCGCTCAGCTTATATCTATATAGAAATTCAAGTTGTTTACATCATAAGGCGGAACGAGGCATCCTCTTACCTATACGCAGGCCATCCCAGAATTCATTTTCCAATTACTTACACTTGCAACCAGTATAATGCGATAGCTATAACGACCCTATGCAGCAGTAAATATGCATCGCAAAATCGATCCAGTCCCCGCAGATTCGATCCTGTCCCTGCTGTGGGGGAATCGTCCGGATGACCAAAGACTTCGCACTGGAAGAACTCTTGCCACTCTCAACAAAACATCGTACTTGCATTACCTTCAACTCCAATACGGCTATTTTACCCGACTTCACAATCATGACTACGACGAACTACAAATAATTGGGTATGTTATTAGCAATATTAAATCGGGTGCAACAAAGGAGGCGATATTTTCTATGCTTAGGTCACGCGCGGGCTTCAAAAATTTTCCCGATGAAATCTACGAGGATATTCTACACTTGACTGCTCGATTGCTCGTTATGTGCAATATAGGGCGTTTAAATAACCAAGCCAATCCTCGCCAGTACCTAGAATGGAAACTGGCAGAGAATTTGCAAGGCGTCATCACTGCCCATTTTCGCCCGGAACCACAATTACAAGAACGAATGAGACTTCCAAAAAACTTTAATGCATGGTCGATTGAAAGAATTGGAGGTATATCTATCCAATTCACGGACAATCTCGCAGATCATCTACTCCTTGTAAACGACGATACGACTGTACTTGTTTTCCACCATGTGTCCTTCTTGGAGCTACAGACGAAGAAGTAAGTATCCTATGTCATCTAGGTATTGAAAAATATCTCATAGAAGTATACTAACATTATCTTGTAGGTCTCTTCTCCCCGAAACTCTCGTCGATGAAACCTTTCGCACGCTTGCTCTACTCTTCCCACAGTCCGAGTTCATGTCTACCCGTCGAGCGACGCGTGAAAGACGAAACTGGTTCAAAAAGCTCTGTCAAAGACATCTCAGTGGTCACCAATGTCAGGTGGATGATCAGCTTCTACGATGTGGCACATTGAAAGCGGATGCACGACAGATAGAAAGGTTTCAGTACTGGCGAGACCGTTTGGTGGTGCTCAAGCAGAGCTATGATGACGCCACACCAGGAAATTTGACTCAATGGTGGTTTGATAGGAGAAATGGTCCACAGTGGTACACGTTTTGGATCGCCATCACCGTGTTGATAATTTCAACTATACTTGGCTTGATACAATGTGTCCTAAGCACCCTCCAAGTCTACAAAGCTTATCATCCATCATGAGGGGTGAGGGCTATTTTGTTTGAGAATTTCGGGTTATAATGATTGGATTCTCAGATTTACGCCCGAAATTGTCATTTCAAAGCTTGGGTGAGAAATCGGACATACAGGAGAACCTCGGATGGTTTGATGATCACCACCTATTCGTTATCACTTCCATTAAACTCCGTGTAACCATACAAATTCCAGACTAAACTCACACAACTTACTCAGACTCTTTCCCCGCAGGGGAGGACAGGGGTAACGATTTCATAGTTTAATACTTTGCCTTAATTTCCTTTTCAACAGCGGAAGTATTTCGAATTCGGTAGTCATTCGATTCAAAGAGGTATTCAATTGCTTACTGAAGGTGGTGGCTGCGATTGCTGAGCTCACAGTGAGCTTGTACCTGGCAAGCCTGGGTAGGCGAAATCGTTCAAATCACTAGGTAGCTGTACTGCCGCCAGTATTATAGTAAAAAAAAAGCCCAGTATATATGAGTAGTTATCAATATGAAACAAGAGTCATTTGCATACTACTAATCATAATTACAGTCAGGTATGCTGTTCTGGCTGGCTATTACGATGAATGTGTATCTGGTTGATCGTGGGAGGTAATGGAGTCCCTGCCCAGATTAGGCTTAGCTCCCAGCGTGCCTATTTGGCACAGTCGCGTCTTCGACCATCTCGTCGCGTTAAGTGCTTCTCACCAAGCTTAACTCACATTCACGCTGCACCAAAATGCCTTCCGCAAAGCCCTCAGAGAAAGGCGAGTCTTCCACAGCTGCCATCAAGGCATCCCTGGATAGTTCTTCAAACGGCCAGGCAAATTATGAGCTGCCATGGTAAGTTTCCCCAGCCAGGAGCATCTCAATATATAACGACAAAATAAGTAACCAGCTCCTAGGGTTGAAAAGTACCGACCAGTATTCCTTGACGATGTTGTCGGCAACACGGAGACGATCGAGCGGTTGAAAATCATTGCAAGAGAGGGCAATATGCCGCATGTCATCATTTCTGGCATGCCGGGTATCGGAAAGACGACCAGCGTGCTGTGTCTAGCAAGGCAGCTTCTTGGCGAATCTTACAAGGAAGCCGTGCTGGAGCTCAACGCCAGTGACGAGCGTGGCATTGATGTCGTCCGAAATCGTATCAAGGGTTTTGCACAGAAGAAGGTCACATTGCCAGCTGGGAGACATAAATTGGTCATCCTCGATGAGGCTGACAGCATGACCTCCGGAGCACAGCAGGCATTGAGGCGGACGATGGAAATTTACTCCAACACGACACGATTTGCCTTCGCCTGCAATCAATCCAACAAAATCATCGAACCTCTCCAGTCAAGATGCGCCATCCTACGGTACGCAAAGCTTACCGACGCCCAAGTCGTTAAGCGTCTCATGCAGATCATCGAAGCGGAAAAGGTCGAATACAGCGACGATGGCCTGGCGGCCCTAGTATTCAGTGCCGAGGGAGATATGCGGCAGGCCATCAACAACCTCCAATCTACATGGGCTGGGTTCGGCTTCGTCTCGGGCGACAACGTCTTCAAAGTGGTGGACTCGCCTCACCCAATCAAGGTGCAAGCTATGCTCAAAGCGTGCTATGAAGGAAACGTCGACTCAGCTCTGGATACACTGCGGGAGCTCTGGAATCTCGGATACTCGAGTCACGACATCATTAGTACAATGTTCAAGGTGACAAAGACTATTCCGACGCTGAGCGAGCACTCCAAGTTGGAGTTCATTAAAGAAATTGGTTTCACGCACATGAAGATTCTGGAGGGTGTTCAAACACTTTTGCAACTCAGCGGGTGTGTCGTCAGGCTTTGCAAGATAAACATGGATCCCAAACGGTTCAAGACATCGGCCTAGGTAGATAAACAAGTTTGCATTAATGGCGTTGGAGTTGGGCTGGTCTGAACCAGCGGTTCTGCTCGAGATACATGTACCATGTGGTAAAAATGTTACAAAAGTATAAGGATAGCGCATGAACTGATCCTTATTACAAAATATACAAGATTTTTAGCAGTTCGCCCATATCGAACTACGATTTCTCATTTCTTCGAGCTGCAAGCTCCTCCTCGTATTGATCCCATCTAGCCTTGTCCCTCATCAACCTTCTCTGCATCCTAACTTGGGCCTCATATTCCCTCAGTCGTGATTCAGCATTCAGCATTGCGCCGAGAACCATTCCCGAAGACTGAATATATCTGAGAGTAATCTTGTAAGAATAATGGTAATGAAATATGCTACCAATGCCAACTTACACTTTAAACTGCAAGGTCGTTGACCTATATACGGGGGATCGAAGATAGGCTAGACCTCCCAGGATGGCAGTTCCTAAACCCCATTTGCCGGCACCGATCATAGCACCTTTGCAAGCTTCCCAGGCGGCGTCATCCGCCTCCTCGTACTTCTTGGAGTCTGAGGTACGCATTGAGACGGCGACTGAAATGGTGGACCAATTCGCCTTCACCTCTTAGATAAGGATGTTCAATTAGCAATTGAAGAAAGAAGAATTCTTTTTTCCGCAATATAAGGTTGAACCGGAAGAGAGGAAAAAGTAAGCGCTCGTTGAGCTTATTATAATTTTGCGCGGTAGTATTGCACAAATGGCCTGATTTACGCTGCAGATATAGAATAGCGAGACTGAAAATAGGCAATTAGTGCTCGCTTGAATAGCAAAAGGCGAATTGGTAAAGAAAGGAATTAATCAATATAATCCCGAGTAGCAGTAAATCTCCGACAACATCAGGCTCAACTCATTGGCCGTGAGATGGGTGAGGTCATACGAGCAAGATGCCCGCCTCATGTGGCTTGAGCTTAAACCCCGATAAGGAGCTTGCCCTGCCGGCCACCTCGATACAACGATAGACCCACTTGACAGGCTGAGCTAAAGCTTCCTGCCATAAAAGGCCTTGCACCGAGATCTTTTTTTCCGTTCCCAAAGATGACACGACACCAGCTTGTTTAGCAATGCCCACGCAAGCATTGCGGCCTGTCGCAGCCCCCCAATCCGGCCTTCTCCAGTTCCACATGGACACCAGGCGGTTTTCCTTTTAAGCGTGCACCTCCCTTGTCATTGTTTCCCACTTGGAATCCTGTGCCTCGTCGCTCTGCATTTCCTTGTTTTGTAGCAGCCATTCATCTTCACCATGGACGCCGTACTGGACCACTACTTCCAGGCTCCTCCTGTCACAAGGTAAGCAAATCGCCAACCCGTCCTCTCTACGACTTGTTCTAACCGTGCTTCCCAGGACCTTCACTGCCATTACCGTTGTTCTATCGTTGGGCGTAATCCTAGGTGCCCTCTCAGACAAGACCTTCGCGTACTACCCGCTCTATGTATACAAGTTCCCGCCCGAGATATGGCGATGCGTGACTGGATTTATGATAACCGGCTCCGGCATGAGCTTCCTCTTCCAGAGCTATCATCTCTTCATCTACATGAGCCAATTGGAAGTTGGCAACCCCAGATTTTCCAAGACTGAGGACTTTATTTGGTACCTCATGTGCGTAGGGGGTGCAATTCTGGTAGGTCCTATCGCCGTTCTCACCAATGTTCCCGTGCCTTTAGTTAGACAATACTCCCCCTCATATATCTGCCCGGATAGTGCTTTGCCTCTACAACTATCACGGTTCCTGGAAATGAGGAAGATTACCCCTGCACTGCGAGCTGGCCCAACATTCGCAAACCTCGGGTCAGTTTCGGGGTGCAGGCATGGTGGGATAGCTTATGGATGGCCCGCGTGATTTCCATTCACTTGGGTGGTTTTTATTTGCTCCCTACATTTCAACATCGTCTTAGCTTAGCTTATATGTTTTTTGCTTCTTGCCAAAATCCCTAGAGAAGCTAATCAAGAAATTTCATTCAGGGAATTAACCATCTCGTCGGGTTTCCGTTCCCGTTCTTCCTAGACGCCTTGATCCTCGCCATGTGCTACACCACCACTCAGGAACAGCGGGGGATGAAGACCAAGTTCCTCTTCATGTTCACTATCCCAGCCCAGCTGCTCCCATACTGCCTGATCCTGTTCAATCTCGTCTTCCCCGGAGGTGCCATCAGGATGATCCTAGAGATTTACGGGCTGATCGCCGCGCATCTCTTCGACTTCCTGACAAAGGTCTGGCCACGGTACGGTGGAAACGGGCGTAGCCTGCTGCCAACGCCACCTCTTCTGGCCACGCTCGTGAACTTTGTGAGCCAAAATCTCCCGAATTTACAGGCTCGAATGGCCCCTACCCCGGCTCCTGAAAGCTCCTCGTCGGGGTCCTCTGCTGGCAGACCTGCGGGTTCGTCGGGTGGTGGTCCGCTGCCAGATTCATGGCGAACAAGAGGTCCGGGCCACCGTCTGGGCTAGTAGCAATTCACGCTTGGCAAAGAAATAAACTTTTTAGAGAATTGTAAAATTATTAAAAAAAAAATTTTGATAATTCAGTGAGCTAGTTTTAGCTCTACTCCGTTAGCAATGTCCCGTGTTCGCGTGCCAAGAATCCACCAAACGCCTTCCCAATGATTGTTATTTACAGGGGAATTCTTTCTATTAACAAATATGAAATGTCGACTTTGCCCATCCACTCGATGATCGTCATCTTTGGTTGTCGTCGCTGGTCACCGTGATAGTCGGTGGTGTATAAGTCTTGGGCCCCCGAAGTTTCGACAGATTTGCCGGTGTGACGAGCGAAGGCATGGCAGGGCGTTCCTGGGGAGGTGGGTTTGGCGGAGGAGGAGGTACTGAAGAGCCAGCTTCACTCAATGCCCTGGCGTGGGTGCTGTATGTCTTGAGCGCGAAGGACTCTGGCGTGGTGGATGAATGGTTCCTTCGAGCTGCGGGCGCAGGTGCCGAGGGCGCATAGTTGACGGATGACCGCCCGAACTCTGATGAGCGCGACGGTTGCGCGGCAGCAGCCTGCGGCACGTAGCGCGGCAAGCTGCTCTGGGATGGTCTCGTGGAGTGGACGGAGGGTCTGCCCGTGCGCCTCTCCTCGTCCAGCTTTTCCAGGTAGTCGAGTCCTCGGTGGC